TGGATCTGGAGCGCTGATGAATGGGATGGCCAGATGTTGAGGGTACATGGTGAACCTCTTGATGTGTAGCGTACTGGATTACCTGTTGAAGAAAAATATGAACAAAGGTTGGGACCTGGGGATCTAACCCAGGTCCTTAGACCTATTTCCAATGCACGCTTGCCAACTGAGCTATCTGACTTATTTGTACATATAAAGAAAACAAATTATAATATATGAAAAATAATGGTAATTGAAAAAACGCGCTAAAGTTCAAACTGCCCAACCAGGGAGTGCCGCGCATCATCTTCTTCCTCCCAACCGTTGTTTTAGCCCAAGACACCTTTACCTACGGACATTGTGGTGTATCTACAACCATGTGTATTTCAAAAATTGTCCATAGGCAATATAAATGACCATCGCTGGTACCAATAAACTCGTCTCATCCTCACGAGTCTCATGGTACCAGAATTAATGTCCAATTTTACCTGTATTGCAAAGCCCTAAAACCAAACAAAAAAACCTAGCCATGGTAATTTCACATACAGTTAACAAAAACGCAATTGAATAAAATGAATAGATTACAAACTCAATAAGGAGCAAGAATATGTAATCAGAATGTGCAAATACTGTATAAATCAATGAAAATGAAAATGAATTGTTTGGCTAACCGTGTGACTGCTACAACGCGTTTCAGGACGTGGGAGGGCTTGTTAATGATTGGGACACGATCCTGAGACGTCCAGCAATCAATTGGCAAGGTGAAGATGGCTTGGGATGGCCTGTAACTTGAAATTGGATCACCACTTTTTCTTGAGATTTTTCAATTTTATTTTTTCCTCTGCACGAATGCTCAACCTCCTCTTATGCCTTGGATCTCTTCTGTATATGTAATACAACCTATTAGGTCAACAAAAACGAATTCAATCTTGCTCATTATGAAGATTTAATTTGGTCTTTCATGGCATATGATATCTTTCCAAATTTTCTCCAATTCAATCTTTTTCCTCCCAAATCAGTCTTGCACGAATTGATTCTCAATTGACAGCATATAAGATCTTCCTTAAATGCAAAAATCATCACTAGAACACATTATATGATTTATTTAGATTTATTTGATTTTATTTGAATTTTAAATGAATAAAAATCAAAATAAATTAAATAAATGAATAAATAAAGCATGGAGGGTACCATAGGTCGTGGACTATGTTATCATTGAAGTGCAAGCATAAAAAGTTGGGCCCATTTAGCAAAAAATGCAAATTTGGGTACATTTGACTTTTGGCAATTTTGCAAAAAAGGTCAACTTGGCCAATGCATAACTCTCTCAATTTTGACCTTAGAGAGGTGTTCTTAGACTTTTTAGAAATATTAGGATGTCCTCTAAACAACCCTTTTGGTCTCATCTCAATTGAGCCTTCCATGTTCATGTATGAAGCTTTGACCCAAAAGGTGTTTTTGTTGACTTTTCAAAATGACCTATAATGTCAAAATTCATATCTTTTTGTGAGTGCATATTTTATACTTGGGAGATGAATATGAATTGTTTGTAATTGAATCCTCTTAAAAATGAGCTTTGAATGGGTCATTTCTGATAAAGTATGAGAAAGTTATGCTTGGTCAAAGTTGAGTTGACTTTTCCTACAAAACCCTAATTTAGCAACTTTTGGGTTTTGATGAATTGTGAGAAATCCTTGGTGAATCATGATCAAACCTTGATCAAATGATTAATGATACTTCAAAATGAGGATGTTGACCAAAAATCTTGAAGTTTGACTATATGTGAGCCACATTTGACTTTTGACCTAGCATTGTCGATTTTCAGGCTTTTGAGCCATTGCCTGAGCAAACTTCCTCTACAAGGCTTGAAACTTGATATGGATGATCTTGAGAACATATTAGGACAATGGTGAGCATTTGGGATCTTTTGGACTCAGGCATCTTGATGAAAAATGAAACCCTAATTTGAGGGAGACTGCCTTAGGAGAGAGTTTGTCTGGTCAACTCTTGGACTTCCTTGAGCAATTTGAGGACCTCACTTTCCATGTATTAAGAAATATGGGAGGGCAAATTTTGGGGTACAACACTCGCAATCAAAACATCTCTGAGAAGCAACAACTTCTCCCCCACTTGTTTCAATCTCCCTCCTGCAAACAAGTGATTAGAAAAACGAGAAAACACCAACAGTGTTTCACACACACGTCGCGTACTAAGGATTAACACATTGACAATATTCAACTGTTACACCATACTGACTCAACAACTTGGCCGGACAGACCGACCTACTCTTATACCACTTTGTAACACCCTAATTTTCCCTCGAATAATTTTAAATAAAAATGTATAGTAATTTAAAAACTTCATCCAACTAGGATGTCACATTCAACAACAATATAACCTGATCATCTATAATAACATGTTGTAGCGGTGAAAATTTGAGATTAAGTTATTAATTAACTTAACTCACAAAGTGAAAGTCGCCGCTAAACTTTATTGTTCCAAAAGGAATGGAAAAATATCAAATAAAATCCACAAAAGCATGCAAAGAAACAAGCAATACAAAAAAGAAATGCAAAGTACAAAGCATACTAAGAGAAAAGGGTACAGAGGTCGGTTATGTAAAGAGAATGTATTAGCACACTAAACATTTGTTGTACTAAACATGATTCACTATGTTTGTTCTAATCAAATGGTGTGTTATATCTTAGACTTAATTGTTAAAGGTAATGCATGGATGAATTATAAAAGAACATAAAAGAAAGTTTTTTATTATCGCGCTCGCCTTGGTTTTACAACCTTGTGCCTACGTATCTCGAATGAATCAGAGCACCGTAGTTCTTCTAAAAAATGTTTGTTTGTTGGTTATTTTTAAATGAAAGACATGTTGTCGTATTCAAGTGTAAAACATACTTATTATCCACAATTATGAGCAAGGAGCATTTGTATCACCTTGATGGAGTATATCGTAGAAGTGTAGTAGTTTGCATCACTACAAGAATCAACAAGAGTCTAATCTTTGGAGAAAAATATTTTAAAGAGAAAAGTGCACAAAGTGCACAAAATTATTTGAATGAGTTGAAGTATTTTGTTAAAGAATACCTCAGATGGTCCTCCAAGGCCGGAGGTATTCGAGTACTTCCAATTTATTTATTAAAGTGTTTGAGATACGTACAATACTAAAGTCTATGACATGAGAGATTTTTGAATGGTTGAGGCAGGCACCTCGTATCCAAAGTCCTCTTCATGTACTTAAGGCTCGTGGTGTATTTGTATGTATCACCTTTATTAGGTGTTTTGAGTTTTTGATTAAGGAAGTATTTTTGTTTTAGAAAAGAAAAAGAATGAAATGCAAAAGAAAAAATAAAGGGGAAAAGATCTACCCTAATGTTGTCATGCCAAGGTTTCAAACCTAACTCGACATAAAATGACCAAAATAAAGATATTAATCGTCTCATGGAGTTTCCTAAGGGAGCATTTTGTTAGGGGAAATTATGAGGGAACATTCTTTACATGGGACACACCTTTGTGAGAGACACACCACATGTTCACCCAAAACCTTAAGGTGATAGGTGTGTGGGTTCTCTCACTTATAAAGTGTTCATTCTTCCTTTTTATAATCAATGTGGGACTTCTTCCTCACACTTGATTCTCAACACTCCCCCTCACGTGTGAGTCTACAATGCTCCCCCCTAATGTATAAGCTTTCTCTTCCACGTACACTTGTACACACATTGACACTTTTCAAAGGAACACCTTCTATCCACCACATACGGGAAGTGTTTAGATACAAGTAAGTTGGTATCTTTACTCGAAACCAAAGGCTCATGATACCACTGTTAGGGGTAATTCTGAAGGATCATTTGTTACCTGAGACACACCTTTGTGAGAGACACACCACATGTTCATCTAAAACCTTAATGTGATAGGTGTGTGGATTCTCTCACTTATAAAGTATTCATTCTCCCTTTTCTAATCAATGTGGGGCTTCTTCCTCACACTTGATTCTCAACACGTGTGAGCATAAGAAATCAACAACGAAAACAAGAAGAACGATGTCGTGATCTCATCTAGGATGAAATCCTGAGTGACTCCTCATTCACAACTAAAAGTAAATAAAATAATGATGTTGTGATCTCATCTAGGGTGCAAGACTAAGTGACTCTTTGCTCACAACTAAAAGAAGAAAAAGAACGATGGCGTGATCTCGGCTGGGGTGTAAAATTGAGTGACTCCTTGTTCACAACTATAAGCAAACAAAAGAACAATGTTGTGATCTTAACTAGGATGCAAGCCTGAGTGACTCTTCGTTCAGCACAAAGTATGACAAAAATCAATCAAACAAATATCAAAATAAAAGAAGATTAAAATCTATTCTAATATTTTTTGCATTTTTATCATGTAAAGAAAAACTGAACAATTCTAAACAATAAGCAAAATCAATCACAAAAATAGGAAATGAAATAAGATAAGTCATGGGGTGCAAGCAGCAAGCTGGAGATGTGTGAATCCATAAAGTAGTGCTAAGGTCCATCAGATTGAGTCCATGAATCAGTATTTTGTAACACAAACTCAAAATGCCAAAAATAAATCGTAGGCTCACGAAAGGAGTTCGACCAAGTTTCAACAACAACACCAGTCCAAATTTATTTTTTGTTACAAACATTCAGGCTCCAACATCAAAAAATGGTGTATCGAGCTTAAGGGAAGTGTTTCGGTCCAACCCATTCATCAACATAATCCAATAAAATTTTGTTTTCTTTTTATTATTATGTTAAAAAAATAGATCAATTTAAATAAAAAGAAAAAAGAAAAAAAAAGAAAGGGGACAGTGCATTTTAAAGAGGAATAAGGGTTTCATATTGTGACTATTCAGCTTTTCGTAAAACACAATCTCTTCTTCCATTTCTGCTTCATCTACATCATCACCTTCTTCACAGTGCGGCTTCGACACATCGTTTCGGCTTTAAGCTCCATCGCTCAACCTTCTTCATGTCGACGGCGAGGATTTGTTCATATTTTTTATGTCGACGATGCAACTTCATGTTCTCAGACCCGCTTCCTTTTGTATCTCTCGATCATCTTCCTTCACCGCCATGGAACCTCAACCTTCTCTGTCTGTCTCACTTCGACGTTACGGTTTTCGGAACCTAACTTCGTTTCATTCTCAGATTTTTCTCAATCGAAGATTTCGTTCAAACTCCACCTTGCAACATGTTCGCGGTTGCGTTCTCAAGCATTCACAGAAGGAAAATAGAAAAGACGATAAGAAGATGGAAGAACCATGTGCGGTGCTTACCTGCCGGAAATTGTCTGGCGCGTCCTCAATTTGTGACTCATGTATGCATTTTGTTTTCAATTATCCATCTCTTCTTCTCTGCGATTTCGATTTCTACATCTCTTCGTTTATGTTTATGTGTGTGTCCATGTTTGTTGTTGATTTTACGCTCTGCTTAAAGTTGCAGATGCGGATTTGTTGCACGTTTTGTTGCAGCAAGATGATGATTGGAGATGCAAGATGATGATTGGAGATGCAAGATGTTGAAGAAGTTCCGAGAAGATGAAGATGTAGAATTGTTGCAGAGTGAAGGTGACGCTTGTTTTTGAATATATTTTGTAAGCAAATAAGAGAGAAGAGATGAAAACGTGTTGATGTTCACATTGGAAAAGTTGCAGAGAGTGCAGAGAGAACTCAGAGAGAAGAGAGTGAAGATTTTTGGAGTTTTTGTGAATGATTCCTCAGAATGAATCCTTTTTTTGGATTGAATCATGGATATGTTATTTATCTGTCGAGAGTTTGTTAGGAATTGAGAAATCTCAGCCCTTTGATTAATAGTTTGTTACAAACTTGAATTGTGATGATCTATTCAATTTGAGTTTGTTATGGTCTGTTATGAAGCTTGCTCTGAAATAGAATAAAAATTAAACATTCAGCCCCAGTATTACATATCAGAAGCTTGCTCCGAATACTTGCCAAATCAAAATTTGCATTATAAGCAAAAGAACCCGAGAACAAAAGTTCCTTGTAAATTTGAATTGGATGAAGTTAAACTTCTCTTGAACAAAATGACTTTTCTTGCAAAACCATGAGGCATGTCTTGATCACAAAGAATTCTCAAATCCATATTTTGTCATGCTTGAACAAATAACCTCATTCTTCAATTGAATCACAGATTCAAGATGCAACACAAATCCTATTGGAAAGTTTGGTGAGGTCTTGATTCATAGCTTAAACAACACGAAGCATCTTAATTTGATGAAATTTTTAACTAATCCTTAAGCATAATGGGGAAAGAATGATGATCCTTGTAGCCTTGAAGAGAAAACCTAACACAATGAACCATTGTTAAATAACCAATAACAATTCTTAGGCATATCATAAGAGAAACCCTAATTCTCTAGATCTTGAGTGCATATTGATGAAGAAGGATTGAGATGGTGAGAGGAAAAAAAACTCTAGTTCAAGAACACTCTCCGTTGAAATCATGATGAAATCTTAAGCTCACAAGTTAAACCTTAATTTACTTGTTCCTTGAATAAATTTGATGAAGACAACCTTGTATCTTGAAGAATCTTGCCAAGGAAGAGGTCCATGATGCTTGTGATCCAAACCCTAGTTTCATACCAAGATTGATTAGATAACCAATTAAATCATCTCGATAAAAGTAACAACCTCAACCCATAGGAAAAAACCCTGGTGTGAAGAGCCCTTTGATCCCATGTCTCAGGAGTTAAAATGAATGAATGATTTATGATGTAAATGCATATGATGTTCTGAATAGATATATTAGGGGTAAAAATGGGGTATAATACATGTAACACATGAAATTACTGAATTTAAAATAATAATAACTAGTAACAAACATATTCAAGTTTAACTCCTTTAATTATAGCAGAAAACACCAATAAAATATTTATTCAACATAAAACATGTTATCCAAAACAATTCATGTTATAACGTAATTATAAAGAAAATTGAAACAAAGAGATATCATAAAGATCCATAATAAAATAGAATAAAAATTAAACGTTCAGCCCTCCAGTGTTACATATCAGAACAGACATTGACTCTAATAAAATAAAATGAAGACTCCATCTTCCACTCACTCCAACGCCGAATTACTCCTAAGTATCTGCATGTTACCAACATAGAGGCAACATCCAAAGAATAAGGGTGAGATATTATAATTATATAATAGAATATATAATAATAAGTGAACAACAGATTACTATAAGCACAACATACATCCCAACAACATACCACACCCATACAATGCAACTACACTAAACCAATAGCATACCCGGATATCATACTAACACATATAGCATACACATATAATTGCATGCTAACACATATAACATACATATATAATCACATGTTAACACATATAACATATACATATAATCACATGCTAAAACATATAACATACTCAAATAATCACATGCTAACATATATAGCATATGCAACCAATATGCAATGTAATGAGACTCAACAATATCAACTCAATGCATGTGGTACCAAGATGTGAACTCTCAGGTTCACTTCTCCGATTACCACCTATGATCGAAGCTCTCCAAATGGACCTCTGTCCAAAATCGTTACCAATGTAATTCTACACTAATCCATCACCATAGAAATTAGTTACTCGCACCCAATCCACACAATGGGATTGAGGCTTACCAAATATAGACCTTTGTCCAACACCATGAATGCATGAAACATCCTACATGCAACAAAAACAATATTCACATTGACCTTCACCATAGTCAGTGTACTTTGCCGATACTGACCACTAGACACAAAACACTTGCCAAAACATGCAGCAACAACCACACAACGATACCACAAGTAATAACCATACATTTTCAAACATTCCATAAAACAACATATCATGCATACATATTATACATTGAACACAACATAATATTATGGTATCACAATTCACCAAGCATGTTATCAACTTATCATTTATAATCAATAACAATAACATAACATCACAATATTACATTAACACAACCTCATGGTATCACAATTCACCAAACATATTATCAACTTATCATGTTATAATCAATAAAAATAACACAACATCATAATATTGAAACAACACAACATCATGGTATCACAATTCACCAAGTATTTTATCAACTCATCGTGTTATAATCAATAACAATAACACAACATCACAACATTACAACAACACAACATCATGGTACATCATTAGCGCAACAATACAACAATTATTTAATAGAAAAAAAATACTAGGCAAACAATTCTATTATCTATACTATGTTATATTTTTATTCATTAGCTTTTCAACTATTCGAATGGTTCTCGATTTAGACTTACGGTTCAAAAGTTATGGCATTTTTAGTTTTGCTAAAAAAACCACTGTCATACTGCAATATTCACTTGCCGATTCGTGGTAATCGATTACTTCCCCAAAATACTCTAAAAAAACTTAATTTTTAAGGTGATAATCGATTACCATAGAATCCATAATGAGAATATTCAATTTTCTTCATTCTAAAGCTCTTTCAAACATGTCCCAACATACCCAAACTTCTTATATAAACAATCCAACATTACATATTGTTGTACCCAAAAATTTTCCCTCTCATTTCTCAAGATATTTCCTACAAGGATCTTCAATGCCTCATGTTTGCGTAAGTATCGACTAGGTCAAACAATTTCCTCAACACTGATACCTCAAATTAGGATTTGAGTTTGTACAAAGGCGGTTAGATTCATAATGTTTCAAATGACTTTCATACATCATTATAGAACCTCGGGATTATTTTTGTCAAGTTTCAAGTCTTGGATCACAATTTTCAAAGAAAGTCATTCAAATTACCAAAAGGGCAAAATAGGCAAAATTAGGGTTTTGATTGAAAATGACCGAACTTTGATTTTTGACCTAATACTTGGCTTATTGGTTGGAAGCATGATATCAAGGATCTGAGCGCGTCATTTTGACCTAATTTCACATTTCAATTCATCTCCTGAGATCAGTGGATTGATAGACAAAATTCGGTCAACTGATGGGAAAAGTCAATTGTACACTAAAAAAGTCAAACTTTGACTTTTTGACCAAAGTTGAGTCCCAAAAATCATATTTCATCAAGACGCCCAAAATATGAAATTTGATCATCAAAAATCAAGAAAGTCAAAAATCCAACTTTTGCAAGACTTAGAATTTTTTCTAAGTTAAGTTCATTGCTTCATGACATCTTGTCACTATAATTCAAAATAATTCAAGATGTTACAAATAATTCAAGTTATTACAAAGTGGCATTTTTGCAAGTTTACAAATCCTAAACTTTGTATTGCTTGGACTTTTTCCTTTGACTCAAAACCTTGCCACAATGATTTGTCTTTGATACAATGTGCATAAATTGCTCCACAAATCAAACTTGTTTCATGCTGCAAACTATGTTGTCCAAGTTATTGCTGAACAAAAAATGATATGCTACTTCTATACATTGCCAAAACACTCTAAAACCCTGCTCAATTGTTTTCCTACAAAACCTTGTGTCATGCTGCACCACAAACCTGTCACAAAACTTGCATATGTTGTCCTATACAGTCCAAAATTTGTCCATAAAACCAGTCCAAAACTACTCTTGCAGTCTGCTCCAACATGCATCATAACAACCACATAATTGCACCAAAATGGCAAAAGAAAATTGTGTGGAAAAAGTATCAAAGCAGTAAGCAAAAATAATTCAAAATAACTTACTTTGTTTCCCTCCTAAACATCAGTGAAGGAGCTACAAAAGGGATTGTTTCATAAGACATAAGGGGGGATTTTTTAGAGAGAGAAATGAGAGAAGAGAAAAACAGAACTTTTGTTAAACTCTACTCATATATAAAACTTAGTTCATCCATAAAACTCTGCTCATCTTCAACTTTGTTTTCACTCATAAAACATAAAAATTCCAACCCATTGTTGTACAACCTTGCAAACTTTCCCCTAAACCAACTACCCAAATAACTCATATACATCACATAGAGATTGTTCTAACATAAGAACAGTTTCTGTAACACCTTTATCATCACCTTCCAACCATAAAAAAAAGCAATACTTTACACCTTTGACTGGGTTGGAGAAATTCTTGAACTTTATCACACAAAGAAAGGTTTGGAGTAGCTCCAAAGAGGAGCTCAGTCATTCATCACTTTGCATCCGGTGATATCCATACGTGTTCCAAAGTTTCGCTTCAAGAGGTATATTTTTTTCAAGACTGTAATATCTTTTTCCGTACATCATTTTCTGTTTGTGTTCAAAAGATATGTAAAAGATAAATTAAAAAAGGGGAAAACTCAGTAAAAAAGAGCCAAGACAGGGGTTGACACGGGTGCCCGTGTCACACGACACGGCCGTGTCAGCTCATTTGTTTGAAAAAATCTCACAAAAATGCAGGTCAGGGGCTGACACGGGTGCCCGTGTCACAGGACTCGGCCGTGTCAGACATATTGGAACTTTATGCTAATAAAAATGCAGGGCAGGGGCTGACACGGGTACCTGTGTCACTGCAAACGTCCCG